TTAAATAATTTTTCCTTGTTTTGCTCAAACGAAAGCTTAGACAATTTACTTTAAGGTCTTTACAGTCCCATAATTTAACTTAAGAATAAGAATTTTAACTTAAGAATAAGATTTTTTCAATATTTGGCTCTTACTTTCCCCCCATTTTTTCAAAATGGACGTTTGTGTTGTATTTTTTACTCTAAAGAGTAAAAAATATATTTTAACTCAAAAACATTGCTCCTTGAGTTTAAATATTTTTTTTATAGATATCCCACTAAGTATCCACAAAGCTCTTAAAGGAAATGGTCTACAGTTTCATTTGAATAAAAAAACAAGTTAGAGTGCTATATTCGGTTGAGCCGAATCTTAAATACCCTCCACCAGCTACTTTTATATTAATACTTTTTTAATTGATCAAATATTTGTGGAAATAAGTTTTCTCATGTCTTAAATAGAAAAACCCCAAGATTTAAACAGCTTAAATCTGTTACAATTCCAAAATTTATTGAACATTACATTTTCTTTTATATTTTTATAGCGCCCTAAGATATGCTTTGACGATATTTAATAAAGTGCATGTATGCATGTGTGTGAAAGATTTAAGGATTTTCAAAATATATATATAATTTTGTTCTACACAAATTGATAATGCAACTAGTTAAATACGGTTAAAGTGATTTTAGGGGCAGGACCTAGTATGGGAGATAGGACCAATTATAGACCTATCGTAAAAATATTCTTTAAGCAAAATTTCTGTACATAAAAGCTATATTCCACTCAAATTTTGTATATATATCGTAATTTAGTAATAAGTAATGTGTGTTCAAGTGATAGGACCGACCGCACCCATGTTATGGACCGATCGTGAAAAAATCTTGAAATAGAATTTTTGTATACCGAACTAATATTTGTGCCAAATTTTGTATCAATAGCTTTATTTGGTAAAGAGTAATGGGCGTTTAAGAGATTTTCGTAAAAGGGCCTTGTATGGGAGCTATGACCAATTATGTATATAAAGACAAAATTTCAAAATTCTGTATCTATATCATTATTTAGTAATGAATTTTGTGCATTTAAGTGATTTTCTGGAGGGGACCTAGTATGAGAGCTATGGCCAAATATGGACCGATCGCAAAACAATTTTATAGAGTAATTTATGTATATAAGAGCAATATTTGTGATAAATTTATGGATATCAATATTTTGTAATGAGTTATGTGCGTTTAAGTGATTTTCGGGAGGGAACCTTGCATGGGAGCTATGACCAAGGATGGACCGATTGGAAAATACTTTCACAGTAGTATTCCTGTGCATATGAGCAATACTTGTACCAAATTATTATATATGGATATCATAATTTAGTAATGAGTTATGCGCGTTTGTGTGATTTTCGGGAAGGGTCCTTGTATGGGAACTATGACCAATTATGGACCGATCGGAAAAAAATTCATAGTAATATTTATGTGCATATGAGCAATACTTATTCGAAGTTTTATATGGATATCTTAATTTAGTAATGAGTTATGCGCGTTTAAGTGATTTTCGGGAATGGTCCTTGTATGGGAGCTATGACCAATTATGGACCGATCGGAGAAAAATTCATAGTAATATTTATGTGCATATGAGCAATACTTATTCGAAGTAATATATGGATATCTTAATTTAGTAATGCGCATTTAAGTGATTTTCGGTGGGGGACTACGTCCAATTATGGACCCATCCAGAAAATTTTTTCTCTCAATAAATTCTATTGACATAAGATTTTAATTTGTAAAACTTTGTGAAGATATTAATATTCTGACAGAATTTATTAACAAAAAAACTAATTTTCCGGGAATATGTACTTTTGTTTGGGAGGTATATGAAATTATGGACCGATTCTGGCAATTTTCAGCAGGAATCAAGATCTTGTGTAGAAATGAATGTATGACTTTCATGAAATTATCTTGCATAGTTTTCGAGAAAATTACATCAGAATGTATAAAAAATGCTTATTTTTTCGGAGTTGTTTTAAATTTTGATTCATAACTTTTCCCTATGTGAACCGATTTTGTTCATTTTCAATACCAAACTGGATAATAATGAATATTTTTGCAGAATTTCGTTAATTTCCATTGCTTCATTTTAACGTGAGCGTGTTTTACACTGACAGACGGACGGACAGGTGGACATAGCTAAATCGACTCAGAATTTCATAAGGATCAGGAATATATATACTTTGTTAGGTCTCAGATGAATATTTCTTGCTGTTACACATGGAATGACAAATATATACCCTCTATCACCACTAATGGTGGTGGAGGGTATAAAAAGCAGCAAAAACGTCCATTTTGAAAAAATAGGGGAAAATTAAGTGCTAAATATTGAAAAAAATCGTATTCTTAAGTTAAACAAGTAAGAGTAACTAATATGAAATAATTCCCTAAAAATTTGTTCAGAAAGCAAAAACAACGAAGTTTGGGGATTTAATTCGTTTTTTGGGGCATTATTTCACATTTAAAATGGGGAGTTATTTCATTATGAAATAATTCCTCAAAATTCAAATATTAAATAAATCCCTAAAAATATTTTCGGGGAGTTATTTCATTATATTACATTTGTCACGCGAAATAAATAATATATGTCTCATAGCCGGCCTTCGGCCGGGCGCAAGGATTTTATCCTCTGGGTTACATTGGACACCGGCTTCGCTAAGAATACATTCTCCTTGTACCAAAAGTGTTCGGCCTTAGGCTGGCTATTTTGGAAATCTTTATTAAGCGAAGCCGGTGTTGGTCATATTATAGAGTGGTAAGTCCTTGGGTCCGGCCGTAGGCCGGCTATTTAGGAAATATTTATTAAGAGAAGCCGTTGTTGGACATAACATAAAGTAGAAAGTCCTTGCGAAATGGAATCTTTATTAATCGATTAAACTGAAATGTATTAAACTTTGAAGCCCCACTCGAAAGTATGAGCGGCCTACTTTTTTTAGAAATGTCCGACTTGTTCCATAATTTGTTATTTTTAAATGGGAACTTATTTCATTTTAAAATTAGGGATTTGTTTCATATGAAATAAATCCCCAAAAATGGGGTGTTATTTCATTTTAATTTAGGAAGTTATTTCATTTCGTTGGGGCTTTTTTCATTTTTAAATTGCGGAATTATTTCGTAATGAAATAAGTCCCTCTGGGGTATATTGGACACCGGCATAGCTAGAATACACTCTACCTGTAACAAGAGCGTACGGCTTTAGGCCGGCTCTTTAGGAAATATTTACTAAGCAAAGCCAGTGTTGGACATCATTCTATTATAGATAAATCCTTGCGTCCGGCCCTAGGCCGTCTATTTAGGAGATATTATACCATAGAGTAGAAAATCATTGCGCCCGGCCACAGACCGGCTATTAAGGAAACCTTTATTAAGCGATTAAACTGAAATGTATTAAACTTTGAAGCCCTACACGAAAGTATGAGCGACCTACTTTTTTTCTAAAATGTCACTAAAACCGACTTGTTCCTTAATTTGTTATTTTCTGTATCTAGAGTCGAATATTTTAATGGGAACTTATTTAATTTTAAAATTAGGGATTTGAGAATTTTTATTAAGCGATTAAACTGAAATGTTTTAAACTTTGAAGCCCCACTCGAAAGTATGAGCGACCTACTTTTTTTCATTTTAATTTAGGAAGTTATTTCATTTCGTTGGAGCTTCTTTTCATTTTTAAATTGGGGAATTATTACATAATGAAATAAGTCCCTAAATTTGAGGACTTATTTCATTTTTGTTTTGGGGAGTTATTTCATGACGTCTGGCATCCCTAATTTTAAAATGAAATAAGTTCCCATTTAAAAATAACAAATTATTGAAGTCGCTCATACTTTCGAGTGGGGCTTCAAAGTTTAATACATTTCAGTTTAATCGCTTAATTAAGATTTCCTTAATAGCCGGTCTGCGGCCGGGCGCAAGGACTTTCTTCTCTATGGTATGTACAACAACGGCTTCGCTTAATAAATATATCCTAAATAGCCCTCCTACGGCCGAACGCAAGGATTTACCACTCTAAAATATGACCGGCTTCGCTTAGTAAAGATTTTCTAAATAGTGTATTCTTAGCGAAGCCGGTGTCCAATGTACCCCAGAGGATAGGGGAGTTATTTCGTGGGGAGTTATTTCATGACGCCCTATCAGACATATATTTCTTTATTTCGTGTGATAAAAGTAATATAATGAAATAACTCCCCAACATTATTTTAGGGATTTATTTCATTTTTTTTAAGGAATTATTTCATAATGAAATAACTCCCCATTTTAAATGTGAAATAATGTCCCATAAAACGAATTAAATCCCCAAATTTCATTGTTTTTGCTTTCTGAACAAACTTTTAGGGAGTTATTTCATTTTTGTTTTGGGGAGTTATTTCGTGGGGAGTTATTTCATGACGCCTTCTTTCGTTTCGTTAACTAAATAAAATTGTATTATAGATGTTGACATAGACCACTTCAAATTATTTTAAATCAAATATACCAAAAATTAAGTATGTAAAAACACCGATTTGAACACTATATAACAGTTTTGCGAAAACTACATCGAAAGTGCTTACATACATATTATTTAATTTTCATAAAACGCTTCCAGACAGAGGTCTAATGTGATTGACGCACAAAGAAATAAACAATTTTACAAAGAGATATATATGTATGTATATTTGGATTATTTTCATATTTTTATATTTCTTTTTACGACTTTCTTTGTTACGTTATACATTTTGGTCGGAATTTGCATTCAAATATTGATTTCCTTTCGGAAAAAGTTGAAAAGTCGGAAAAGTCGATATTAAAAGGTTCAATAAGTCTACTTTTCATAAATCACAAAAAGTCGAAAAATCTACTTTTCAAAAACTATAGCATTTGTTTAATTTACTTTTCTTTTTTGTCTATAATTATTTACAACTTATTAATTTATTAATATCTAACGATTAATTACATATAATTTATATTGCAACAACTTACATTTATTTTACTTTTTTTATTTTTCAGGAAAAAGTATACTGGATTTTCCCTAGAATCAAGATTACACTTCCGAATTCATACAGCTTTAATGGATCTTAGAGAAAGAAGGAAAGTCAAATAATCATGTATGAATGATTATGTTGTAATTTAGTGTTTTAACAATAGAGTTATCAGCTCTACACTAGCAAAAATTTACAATGCCTCTAAGAATTCTAAGAAAATCTAATTAATTTTGCACTTTTATCAGGGATATTAATCGGTGGGAAAATGTGGTTTATTAAATAAAATTTTATTTTAAAATACATATGAAAAAAAAATATTTTGTAATTTTTATTTGAATTTAGAACTACCCATTGTGAGGCTATTAGAACAGATATTGGATCAACAAGAACAAATTTACAATTGACTCTTACTATTTTCCAAATTCAAAATTGTTTTCAACAAATTGGCCATGAAATTTTGTTTTTAAAAATTGTATCAGTAATTTTGAATATAATACCATTTGTAAAATTTTATTTTTCTGTTTTGATAAAGTTTTCTTTTATTGTGTGTTGAAAATTTGAATATTTATATTTTAATTGTTTGAAATTTCATCGAAAATAGTTTCCAGGAAAAAGTAAATTTACTATATTTTATTACTTAGTCCTCGAGAAGATCAGAAGCTTTGGTAAAATTAAGCAAATTGATGAATATTTAGTTTTTTTTTGTTAATAGTTCTTTTCATTCTTCGTTTTTATAGAGACTCTCTTTGCTACACCAGGTTCTATGTACTTAAACAGTACAAGGACCTGGATAACTTTTAAATGCATGTCATTAATTTCAATTCAAAATCAATATTTTCTCCTTGGAAGTCTGTAATAATACGCCAACATTAATCAAAATTCGAAATATCTGGTTGATATAAATTATCCAGACTTTCATCAAACCAGCACATTACACCTTTGGAATCATAGGGAATTTTGGCACTTTTTTTATAAATTTTTATCTTTTCTATATTTAAATTATTCTGAAAGCATTTTTCGTGTGGTTTATTACAAATTTTAACAACCAAATCAAAACATCTTTGCTTTTCTGCATAAGGAAATAATTAATTTGTTTCTGGCCGAGATTTATTATTAGTGCCTATGCCAACCTAATCTGAATTGTCGTTTGATTATATAACATAATTTTATTATTTTAACTTGAATTTGACATAAAGTTAAAAAGGTTTTTTTTCTGTTAAAATATTGTTATAACCTACACCACTTTAGTGGGGAGGGCATATTGGGTTTGTGCTGATGTTTGTAACGCACAATAATATTGGCTCAATACCCACCTTAAAGTATACCAATCGACTTAGAATCATTTTCTGAGTCGATTTAGCTATGTCCGTCCGTCTGTCCGTCCATGTAAACCTTGTAATCAAACTACAGGTCGCAATTTTGAAGATAATTCAATGAAATTTGGCACATGATCTTCTATGTTACCGGAGACGAAGCCTATTGATCGGTCCATTATTTCACCTAGCACCCATACAACTGAACCCGCCGAATAAGGCTCTTAAGTTCATAATTATGTTTAATATACTGGTATCTCGACAAAAAGCTGCAAAACCAAGTTCTATACTAGCCTTAATGATTCTCATGAATTTTATAATTATAGGGTCTCATTTGACCATAGCCCCTATACAAAGCCGCCTTCAAAATTCGACTTAAATATCCACAATTTTATTCAACAATAAATGGCTTAAGTACATCTGAGACAAGGTACAATTCAACTTAAATGCTTTATTATGAAAACTAAATCACATTTTAATTTTGTAACCCGACTATAATTTCTTACTTGTTATATATTGGGTTTGTGCTGATGTTTGTAACGCACAATAATATACCAATCGGCTCAGAATCATTTTCTGAGTCGATTTAGCTATGTCCGTCCGTCCGTCCATGTAAAACTTGTAATCAAACTACAGGTCGCAATTTTGAAGATAATTCAATGAAATTTGGTACATGATCTTCTATTGTCCCAGGGACGAAGCCTATTGAAAATGGTTAACATCGGTCCATTATTTCACGTAGCCCCCATACGACTGAACCCCCCGAATAGGGCTTTTAAACTTTGTAATCAAACTACAGGTCGCAATTTTGGAGATAATTCAATGAAATTTGGCACATGATCTTTTATGGTACCGTAGACGAAGCATATTGAAAATGGTAAACATCGGTCCATTATTTCACCTAGCCTCCATACAACTGAACCCCCGAATAGGGCTTTTAAACTTTGTGATCAAACTACTGCTCGGAATTTTGGAGATAATTCAATGAATTTGGCACATGATATTTTATGGTACCGTAGACAAAGTCTATTGAAAATGGTTAACATCGGTCCTCCATACGACTAAATCCCCCGAATAGGGCTTGTAAAACTTGTAATCAAACTACAGGTCGCAATTTTGGAGATAATTCAATGAAATTTGGCACATGATCTTTTATGGTACCGTAAACGAAGCCTGTTGAAAATGGTTTACGGCGGTCCATTATTTCACCTAGCCCCCATACAACTGAACCCGCCGAATAGGGCTTTTAAGTTCATAATTATGTTTAATATACTCATATCTCGACAATAAGCTGCAAAAACCAAGTTCTATACAAGATTTGATGACCCTCATGAATTCCATAATAATAGGTCCTCATATGACCCTAGCCCCTATGAAAAGCCCCATCAAAATTTCACTTAAATGTCCTCAATTTTATTCAACAATAAACGGCTTAAGTATGTATATCTGAGGCAAGGTACAATTCAATTTAAATGCTTTATTATGGCAAATAAATCACATTATATTTTTGTCAAAGGTGTAGCACAGTGGTATAGGAAAAAAAAAGAGGGAAATAATTCGATAACTTCTAAACAGTTAATCCGATTTTAATGAAATTTGGTATGCACAAAGAGGAGGTGTTGTCGAGTTTAGGTTTTGACTTTGGACCTTATAGGCCAACCAGGGGCCCGGCGGGGGTCCTCAAATTAGGACACCTCGGCTATGTTAAAAATTTCGTATATAGAATCTCCTCATCGAGCACTATAAAAAATGTCATCCATATATGTAACAAATTTAAGAGTTAACCTTATGGATGAAAATAATAGTGCTAGGTAAATTTTCTAAAAGATGTTGAGTTTTCCCTAATTAATTTGTCACTTAAAAAACATCAGGTAGGCATGTTATATATCAATGGAAAGGTAATTTTGTCTATTTTTCAAAACTTTATATAATTTTTGAAAATTAAAAAATTCGCGGAATACTTTAAAAAAAAAAATAAAAAATGTTTTTTATTCAGTTTTTGCGAAGATAAAAATTTTTCAAATTGCAATAAAAACAAGTAAGAAATTATAGTCGGGCGAGGCCGACCATATAATACCCTACACCTTTGACAAAAATATAATGTGATTTAGTTGCCATAATAAAGCATTTAAGTTGAATTGTACCTTGCCTTAGATATACATATTTAAGTCGTTTATTGTTGAATAAAATTGTGAACATTAAAGTGAAATTTTGATGGAGGCTTTTCATAGGGGCTAGGGTCATATGTGAACCTATTATTATGGAATTCGTGGGGGTCATCAATACTTGTATGCAACTTGGTTTTTGCAGCTTTTTGTCGAGATATGAGTATATTAAACATAATTATGAACTTAAAAGCCCTATTCGGCGGGTTCAGTTGTATGGGGGCTAGGTGAAATAATAGACCAATGTTAACCATTTTCAATAAGCTTCGTCTACGATACCATAAAAGATCATGTGCCAAATTTCATTAATTTATCTCTAAAATTGCGACCTGTAGTTTGATTACAAGGATTATAAGCCCTATTGGGGGGTTCAGTTGTATGGGGGCTAGGTGAAATAATGAACCGATCTTAACCATTAAGTATAAATTCTATGAACATCTTCTTAGAAACTTTTTAGATAACTTAAAAAGAAAAAGATACTTTTTTCCCAAAAAAATTACAAAAAATCGCCTTTTTTTAATTTTTTAAATTAAAATGCCTATAACTTTGGACTCAGTCATGATTTTTACATAATTCTTTCACTGCTTGATATATAAACTTGTTGTTAAGCGAATAAAAAAAATGGCGAAAATCCGCTATTATCAAAAAATCGGAACTCAAATGAAGAAATAGGATCGTTTTAAAAATTTAATATAGCCGAGGTGTCCTAATTTGAGGACCCCCCGCCGGGCCCCTGGTTGGCCTATAAGGTCCAAATTCAAAACCTAAACTCGACAACACCTCCTCTTTGTGCATACCAAATTTCATTAAAATCGGATTAACCGTTTAGAAGTTACCGAATTATTTCCCTTTTTTTTTTCCTATACCACTGTGTGTAGGGTATTATATGGTCGGCCTCGCCCGACTATAATTTCTTACTTGTTTTATATTAACTTTATTTACATTTTCATTTGTTTTTTTATATATTTATGTTAATAACATGATTTGAGCTTTTTGTTAATCCAGTTAATGTTAGAATATTTTATATCAAAAAAACACACAATTTTATAAAAATTTATTGAGTGAACATTTACATTAAAATTTAATAACAACAGCTCAAGATTCCGGAGGACAACAGGCCTGTAAGTCTTCGAGGGATGATAATTTGGTGGGTTTGTATAAATATATATCTTATTAATGAATTTTCACTCCACATAACACATTTTCCATATTTAAATACTAACATAAATTGATATGTTAACAGTGAACATTTATAATGTATGTTAAAAACATAGCAATTAAGTTTTTAACAATTTCCTTGCATTTTTATGCAGTGTGCAAAAGATAGAAATTAGTTTTTTTGTTAAATTTAGAATCAAACCATAATTAAAGATTTTGATTAAAATTAGGTAAAAAATTATATTTTTTGATTAATGAAGGTAAAGTTGTTTCATTTCGAAAATTAATTCTTTTCTTATAAAAAACCAAATTAGAGATTTGATCCCCATTTTAATCGATGTAAAATTCTAAGTATTTTACGGTACTTTTCATTACAAACAATTCCATTTCTCACTTTATTAGAAAATAATCATAATATTCTCTTAAATAAAGAATTTTATATTAACATTATACATAAATCTTATTTATATTTCAGAAAAAAAAAAATTTAACAGTTATTTTCATTTCTATTCCAGGATTTTTGTATTTGTAGATTTTGTACCCATTGAATTGAGTACTGAACTTACATAAAATCTTAATCTTTTGGTTAACAATGATCAGTATTATTTTCACTTCTTTTTATAGAAAATTTTTTAGAAATTCGTTATATCGCGTACAAAATTGACTCATTTATTCGTAA